CCTGCTGTCACTTTCCTCCAGGGTCCTTGAAGGCTCTTTTGTAAATGCACAGTTCAGGGATCAGCCAAGGATTTGAAAGAAATCTATATGCCAGTTTGGGGCTCCTTCATTTCTAGCTTCCTCCTTTCTGGGATTTCTCCCCTCAATTTCTAGCCACTCTGTGTTCTTATAGATCAGGCCACTAAGACAGGCTTTCTAGCAGTCTTTTCCTATGGTGTCAAGTATATATTTTCTAGGTACTATTCTTTCAAGGTACTATACTTTCTTTTTTTTTTTTTTTGAGTTGGAGTCTCACTCTGTCACCCAGACTGGAGTACAGTGGCTGCTCCCGGCCACCATAGCCTCGACCTGCTGGGCTCCGGCAATTCTTCTGCCTCAGCCTTCCAAGTAGCTAGAACTATAGGCACGCGTGACCACACCCGGCTAATTTTTTGATTTATTGTGGAGATGAGGTCTCACCAAATTGCCCAGGCAGGTCTCGAACCTGCGGGCTCAGGCAATTCACTCACCTCAGCCTCCCAAAATGCGGGATTACAGGCTGAGCCACCGAGTCCAGCTAGGGTACTATACTTTCAAGTATAGTACTATTTGCTCTCAAGTTTCTGTCTGATTTTTTTGTTTGCTTTGTTCTATAGTGCTCCATATAGTATTTAATATCCTGAGTGGGGTTTATATATTTTTTAACTTTTTTGTTTGTTTGTTTTAGAAATGGGAGGTCTTACTTTGTTGTCCAGGCTGGTGTTGAACACCTGGCTCAAGTGACCCTCCCACTTCAGCCTCCCAAAGTGCTAGGATTACCATTGTTATCTGTGGGAAGTTTGTCTGAATTAAGCTACTCCACCATTCCTGAGACCAAAACTAGCCCTGTTAAATTACTCTTCACTTGAAAACTGACTTATTAATATAGTTAAACTTCTCTATCACTCTATTTCCTATCAAATAAAATATATATAAGGTAAGAAGAGTAGGAATTTCAGAACTATTATATAGTAGGAATCTTGGATCCAGTAGTTGTTTTTTGAAGCTCTGCGTACATGGTAAGCACTCTATTTTTAGATAAAGTTATATTTACTTGGAGTGGGTAGAGTGATGGAATGGGTGTGTGCTGTGGAACAGTACTGTGGAGATGAGATGACCAAAATTCCCAGCTCCCTCTAGTAGGTCACTGCCTGAGATTCTCTTCTAAAAGGTCTCATTACCAGAATACTAAGAAGTAACGCTGACTGAAAGAAAGGACCACAGCATAGGAGAAAGAGTTGGAATGGAGTTAAAGCATATTAACATAAGATTCACTCATATGTACACTGAACAACCAATATGAATTTTAATTGAACAAATTTCCAAATATTGGGCAACTTTTTTTTTTCTGTGCCATTTTCAAAGTTTGCGACAAATAATAGTTCTTAACACTTAACTAATTTTGAGGTAACTCTTTGAGATGACTCTTTGGAGAGTCAACTGAGAGGACTCTCCATCACATTTCCATTTGGTAACATGTTGTCTCTATAGGAAGACCTTCATTCAGGATTATTATTTTTTTACTTTATTTTATTATAGAGATGTGGGATACAAGTTGGGATTAGGTACATAAGTAATCTATGTGCAGGTGAAGTTTGGACCTCCAACTGGTCCTCACTTTCCCTGGTTTAGGACCAGAGGACTATTCTTTGGTTTTCCTTCAAAGCATTACTAAAACATGGGATTATATACTTGTACTTGTTGAACTTTCTCAGTGAAATGTAGGGACAACAATCTTTAAGCAAGACATTTATCATCATTTAAGATTAAATCTAGTCTGAATTAATCACATAAAATCATACTTAAATGAAAGTATGTCCATTTTTTAAAATGGATAATACAGACAACATTGTTTTTCAACCATGCCTATCCAAATCTTCTCCTTACCAAAAGCATTCAAGCCATTAAAGTATTTGGTATATTTGGTTTATAAAGATTTTTAAATTTCAAAAATACCCAGACCATTCAAACCATTAAACTTCTCTGGTATTTCTGGTCTATATGAATTTAAAAAGTGATTTTAATACACAGACCATGTTCAATGCTATCCAAGTAGAAAATTTTAAGTACAGTATACAATTTGGAGACAACTAACAACTATCAATATTAAAGATCAGAAAACAATTCCAGACTTTTAAACACATTATTTCACTTAATTTTAACCCTTATTTGAAGTATTGCTATTCCAATGTAACAAATGAGAAAAGTGTAGTTCAAAGAGGTTAAGTGATTGGCCAAAGTCACATGACTAATAAATGATCAGATCTTCTGACTGACTAGTTATACTAGAGCTCTCATTATACTACAGCTTTCATAGAATTACTTGGAAGAGCTCTCTAAATAGTAACAGTCAGACAATGAAAAACTTAATATTTTATTCAAGGTAGAATATAAATATTTATAAACATGCCACTTTAATCCTCTCTCCAAGATATGAAGCCAAATAGATGAATATTCTTTCATTTAAGAATGATAGATTTAGGCCAGGCACGGTGGCTCATGCCTATAATCCCAGCATCTTGGGAGGCCGAGGTGAGAGGATTGCCTGAACCCACGGGTTCAAGACCAGCCTGGGCAACTTGGCGAGACCTCACCTCTATAATAAATCAAAAAATTAGCCAGTCGTGGTGGTGCATGCCTTAGTTCCAGCTACTTGGAAGGCTTAAGTGGAAGGATCGCCTGAGCCCAGCAGGTCCAGGCTGCAGTGGCAGTGAGTGTACCACTGCACTCCCACCTGAGCGACAGAGTGAGACTCCAACTCAAAAAAAAAAAAAAAGGGAAAAAAAATGACCAACTAAAACAGTCTAAGTTTAATCTTAAATGATGGTCAATGTTTGACTAAAACAGACTAAGTTTAATTTTAAATGATGGTCAATATATTTAGAAGTGTTTCAGACATTTCAAGATATAAAGGGAACATCTACTGCATTTAAAGATATGAAAATCCATTTTTTAAACTTCTAGTTTCTTTGCTTTCAGTTTCTTTGCAGAGGTATTACTAAATTCCTTATCTTCTTCCTCTCTGATACCCTTTGTCAACCAGACACCCATCTAACATTGCTCTAACCACTATTCCATGCCGCTTAGTCCAGCATTTAACCTGCCCCCACTGGAGAGGGCAATGGTCTCAGTGCATAAAAACAGACTGCGAAAATCACACTACTTCAAATCCAAAGTAAAAAAATGTGTGAGATGGATAGGAAAACAACAAAACCGTTTTTCCCCTACAGAACACACAGGTCAAATGTAGCTTGCAGAGTCTATCTTGTTCTCTGATCACTAACTTCAGCAAAGAGAAAGTACAAACAGTAAGTGTAACTGCTAATGGTAAAAGCAGCCTTTTACAAGAAAAAGGAAAGGAAAGAAAACTTCCTTTGTATATAGTATAGCCACTTAAAAATTGGATGACAGTCTGGGCTACCCCTCAACCTTGAATTTAGGAACAGTTTTGGGGTGAAGATTGATTCAGGACCAAAAACTCTTGAGTGCCTTAAGTTGACTCTTCGGATATCCCTCCCTCGACGCTTCTGCTCAGCGAGAACATCCCTGTCTTACCTGTTATTCTAATTCCAACCTCGGCTCTTTGCCTTCTCCCTCACCCTTTGCATCCCAAAGTCGTTCCCCTCCTTCACCTGCGGGGGGGGGAGGACTCCCCAAACCCCTTTCCTGCATAGACCTGCCTACTCGTTCCCTACACGTTCACAAACTCAAGGTTTGTCACAGATGCAGCCCCCCCCCCCCCCAGGCAGGGCTGTCTCCTCCCCCACGGACCTCCGGGTCTCTTCCTGTTTCGGATCCTCTCAGGCCCTCATCTTGCTTCTCACGCACCCCCTCAGACCAGGCTCCAGAGGTCCTCGATTCTCACATTGACATCTCCTCTCCTTTCAGATGCGGAGCCCCTCCGAAGTCCTCTCCTCCCAGACTCTCAGAGCCGACAGCTCTTTCTTCCTCAGACACCGTTGCTTCCCTGCCTCACGCCCCCAGCCGACCCCCTCCCCCTCAGACAACCTCCCTCTCAGCCCCACGCCCACTCAGACAAGCTGCCCCGTCAGACCCACGCCCCCTCAAATCCCGCCCTCCCCGTCAGACCCACATTCTCTTCAGCCACCCTCAGACAACTACCACCCTCAAGCCCACGACCCCTCGGGTAACCTCCCTCGTCAGACCCAGGCCCCTCTGAGACAACCTCCTCCACCGCCCCGGCACACCCATGCTCTCCTCGGCCACCCGCCTCTCTAGGCCACACGACCCCCTCAGACAGCCTGCCCGGTCAGACTCACGCCCCCTCAAACCCCGCCCTCCCCCCTCCCCGTCAGACCCACACTCTCCTCGGCCGCCCTCCCCTCTCAGACCCGCGCTCCCCTCAGATAACTTCCCTTCTCAGACCCACGCCCCTCTCGGATTACCCCCTCGTCAGACTCACGACCCTCGCAGACAACGCCCCTCCGTCAGACCGCGCGGCGCTCTCTTCGGCTGCCCTCCCCTCTCGACCCATGCCCCCCACCAGACATCCCGCCCCATCAGACTCACGTCCCCTCAACCCCCCCCCACGTCTGACCCACACTCTCTCAGCCGCCCTCCCCTCTCAGATTCAGGCTACCCGCAGGCAACTTCTCCTCTCAGACCCACGCCCCTCTCGGATTACCTCCCCTGTCAGACCCTCGCCCCTCTCAGACAACACCCCTCCGTCAGACCCGCGCTCTCTTACGCTGCCCTCCCCTCTCGACTCACGCCCCCCTCAGACAACCCGTCCCATCAGACTCACGCCCCCTCAACCACCCCCTTCCACGTCAGACCTACACGCTCCTCGGCCGCCCTCCCCTCTCAGACCCACGTCCCACTCCGACAACCTACCCTCTCAGCCCCGCGACCCTCTCGGCCGCCCCCCCCCGTCTGACCCGCGCCCCCCTCAGACAAGCTTCCCGCCCGGTCCCACGCCCCCTCCCTCGGCCGCACTCGCCCGTCTGGCCCGCGCCCCTCACCTGGATCCGCCTCGCCACGCCGATGTGCGTCTGCTGCACGAAGGGGTTAGGCACGGGCGGCTGGAAGAAGGACGCCTGGCGAGGCACCATGGACGGCCGCAGCGCCGCGCCCCCGACGCCCGCGCCCGGCACTGTGGCTGCCACCGCCGCCGCCTCGGCGCACCGGTTCATCGCCGAGCCAGGCGCGGGACCCGACCCAGGCGACGGAGAGCACAGGCGAGCGCCGCAGCCGAGACGGAGGTGAGCCTCGCCGGAGCGGAGCCTCGCCGGAGTCCCCGCCTGGGGCGCCGCTCGGGGCCTCTGCGCGCAGGCGCCGCAGTTACCTAGACGCCGGCTGCCATTGCCCCGCCCTCTCAGCTGGCCCCGCCCCTCAGGTGCCTGACTCCTCCTCCTGGACGACATACCCGCCCCCTTGAGGGTGAGCGCTTTTCCTTCAGAGCAATGACCCAGAAAGGGTGGTCCGGTAGGGTTCTCTGCTTTAGAGTCAGGTCGACCTCGAATTTCCATCTATTTGGCTGGGTCTGTGACGCTAGCCAAGCGATGTCTCCACGAACCTCAGTTGCCTCCCTCTGTAAAATGGGGTAAACATAACTCAGATAATCAGAACCTGGATCAAGCAGTGTCAGGAGCAACCACTTCCCCTGGACTGTCCCATTAAGTGAATTAATATATCCAGGGTGGGTTTTATGTATGTTTGCTCTCTAGTATGTTTTGTGTTCATGCAAACCAGTTTGAGTTGGGTGTTTGTTGGTTACTTACAGCTGAAGGGACCCCAGTATAGAAATTGGTACCAGGGGTAAAATCTGTCTCACTCAAAACATATGGACTGACAAGGGAGAGACAGTTCTCCAGAGAAAAATTGAGCTTCAATTATTAGAAAAGGCAAAAACAAGGTACCCTCCACACTAGATGAGGAACCTGACCCAGAAAAGGGAAATGACTTGGGTTGCGGTTCCATTACGCTCTGAGGAAGTTCAAGGGCCTGTTTGGACCTATATGGGTACTATTGGGGGAAGGGTGTAGGGGTTGTCCCAGGACCTGAGATCAGCTGATCAAACCCAGAGTGACTGAGTTAAACGATGATCATTAACAACTCATCTTTATTGATCAACTCTGTTCATAGCAGGCAAGTAGACCAGCATGAGAATCTGCACCCAAGTCTTGGGACAGCTGCTCCTCCAAACTTGTCTACTGAATCTCATAATCTTCCAAGCCTATCAAACAGATGTGTGGCCTTGGATTAGTCACATAACCTCTCTGAGCTTGTTTCCTTGTCTAGGAATGGGAGATTAATTCTCACTCCATTGAGTCAAAGGACTAACTAATGTACATGTAGTGGTCACAGAAAAGTACTCAAGAAATGAAACATTTTTGGAATTACTATGTTGTGGCGCAGCTGAATTTTGTTTAACTGAGAACCTCAATAACTGTATTTCAGCCATGATGTAAGATTCTTCAACCTAGGTCTTCAAGTATGGGCAAGCAGAGCCTTGAGCTCTTTTAACCAGATACCTGCATGAAAGTTGGTCTTTCCAGGGCTCTCAAGAACGTGAGCCAGGGCAGGCCCTGGAAAGAGAAAATATGACTTCAAGCCCACCAAGGTCACCTCTAGAGTCTTGTCCACTCCTTACTCCCTTCCCCACCAAAAGAAACCTGAATCAATATGCTATCAGACTACTGGAGCTAGAAACAGCCTCCAAAAACCCCAGACCTTAAATTTCTGTAGTTCTAGAATTTCTTTAAAGGAGATTAGGGGTGGATAGGATGGGAGGAAGGAGTAAGGAGCTTATCCATTAATACTAGCTGTGTTTAGAAGCAAACACATTTCTCCCCTAAGTGTGTTTACTTAGGGTGGTTTTGAGGTAGTAGAGGGTAATGCTGCTGATAGACATTCTGGGCTGAGGGCTCCTCTGCTAGGCCATCCTTTGACTCTGATGCAGCTTCTGTTACCTAAAGCTATGAGATCCTGGGCAAAACACTTCTCTTTGAGCTTCAGCTTCTTCATCAATAAGATTGAGCTAATAATAGCCTCTTTCTCGTTAGGCGATGCACATAAAGTGCCTGGCACAGAGTAATCACTCTATTAATGGAGGGGAATGTTATTGTTGTTCATTGTTACTAGTAGTTGCATTAGAATTGGTATGACTGCTAATGAAACGGACAGAAAGTGAACTTTGAACATACCCCACAACTATAAAACCAGAATTGCTGCTACTTCAGGGTTCTTTCTACAGGCCAGAGAGACTAGAGCTTGCCCACTCTGAGGTTCTCTTGCTGTTTACTTTGGAAGCTCTAATCTTTGCAGCAGACGTCATCTGTGCCCTGCAGGGAGCAGAGATTGGGACTTTTCAAATTTCCTCTTCTGGCTGGCACTGTAGCCCCATTCAGGGCTCTACTGAAACAGATGGCAAACACTGCCACTCAATCAGTGTCTTTATTCATACTTGTTGACATTTCCCATGGGGAACTGTTGACGGGTGAGGCAGTGAGGGCGGAGCAGGGATCCATGGCTTGACTTTCCTCCATCCAGTGGAGGAAGCAGCTGGGTAGGGACTGACTAAATAGAGTGAAAAAGGGAACTATTGCTATGTGGGCTGAGATGCGCTTTGCAGTGACTTCAAGACAACCTGAGTCCTTCTGTCAAGAAATGCAATTTCAAAGTGGAAAAGTAAAAAGACCAAAAGAAAAGAACAAAGTTCATACAAAGCAAATTGCTAATGTAGGAAATGGTCTAAGGCAGCCAGCAGTGAAAATCCAGGTGTCTGGGGTGGCCACCTGGCCATGCCCTTATCCCACTGCCCCATGCCAGGCTGCTGGGCTACCCATGCCCTCCTTCAAGAGTCTCCATTGGCTCTCTGAGGGTGCTGTGAGCCACAGAAGGTTGTGGAGGGAGAAGAGCCTGAAGTGTGACAGCACCAGGGCAGCCTGAAGCAGGGCTGCGTTGAAAATATCCAAGTATCTCTTTAGGGTTGGCTCTGAGGGTTGGTGGGATTGGAGAGGCAAGGGGCACCTGGAAGGGGTATAATCAGCACCTATTCTTGGGCACAGGGTGGAGCTGCTTTCTGGACTCTTAAATTACCAGGTGAGGGTGAGAATGCTGATTAACTACAGAGATAAAGGCAGGGCTGCCAGGCCCCTTCCAGTCCTTCTCTGGTGCTCAGGGCCTGGTGTGCGGAAGGCAGTGGAGAGGAAGGGCCTGTGGGAGCCAGGGCCAGCTCAGCAGCCTAGCCAGTCAGATTTGATGCTTCCAAACTTCACGCTCTTCAGACTTTGGTTCTCCAGCTTCAGGTAATATGCACCCTTGAAGAAGTAGCTGTGACCTGGAACAGAGAAAGAAGAGAGGCTGTGACCACCCGATCCTGACATTCTGGTGCACAGAAGGTTCCTGGGAGCTTTGAAAGTCTACCTGGCATAGGAAAGAAGCTTCTAAACCAAAAGAGCCCCCTCTGGATGGGAGGAAGGGAGATGGCTGTGGAAGAAAGCTCTCTTAGTCCCTGTTTGCTCATCTCTAGGATGAGGATAAAGATACCAACCTCTTAGCCATGTGTTCTTAGGGTTTGTGGTGAGAATTATATTAGATAACATGCCATCAGTAATGACAATAACTCCACTTAGCACAGGAACCAGACTAAGAACATTCCATATACCAAAGGTGGCTAAACAGGAAGCTTCCAGTCTTATCAGGCCCACAGATGGGTTTTACTTGGCTCACACAAGTTTTTTGTTTTGTTTTGTCTTTAAACCTGAATAAGTTGCCAACATGTAAACATCTGGAAAAAATCACATGAAAATACAAATTTCTGGCTTCTTTTATAAACAGCTAGAGGCCAGGTGTGGTGGCTCAGCCTGTAATCCCAGCACTTTGGAAGGCCAAGGCGAGAGGATTGCCTGAGCCTGGGGGTTTGACACCTCGTCTCTACAATAAATCACAAAAAACTACCCGGGCGTGGTAGCATGCATCTGTAGTTCCAGCTACTTGGAAGGCTGAGGCGGAAGGATCGCCTAAGCCCAGCAGGTCGAGGCTGTGGTGGCTGTGAGCATGCTACTGCACTCCAGCCTGGGCAACAAAGAGTGAGACTACAACTCAAAAAAAAAAACCAAAAAAAAACCCCAACTAGAATATCTAAAAACATTGGGTCCCTGTTTCTGCAAGCCAGTAATCACCCAAAGCTGAGAAGCAGCTGTCCTCTGTAATTGAGCCATGTGTTCTGTGTTTCACCGCACACCCCTCCATTCCCTACTGTATGCCCCTGCGTGCTTCATTCATGTGTGCTACCTGCCTGGCCTGTAGAGGTTTTGGAATTTGTGACTTGTGACATACATGATCTCATTTGTTTCTTTTAAAACCCTAGTACGTGGTAGGTACTCAATAGATGTTAATTCTTGAAGAGACTTCTTTATCTAGCACCTGATTGTATACTGTTTTTTTTGGACATGGAAGACTTTTAGCCACGGGAGTGCTAAAAGTCTTTAGCAGGGCTCTGCAATTAGCATACTGTAGGAGCTCAAAATAATCTCCGGAATTTAATTGAAATCTCTAAAAAGTCAAACTGGACTCATTTCCAGGCCCTAGAGAGCTCACAGAAGCTTCCTCAGAAATATGGTTTTCAAACTTTGAATTCTGTCCCTTGCTGCTACTGGTTGTGTTTTACTCAGCAAGGGACCAGGGACAAACTGAGTGGGGAATCTTTGCCACATGAGCAATAGAGCGTGACAAAGTTTGCCTTGTCTCAAATGGAACCATCCTTCTACTAATGAGAGGCGGTCACAGGCCTCCTGCAAAACCCAAAAGGGCCTGGATCAAACCCCAGAATGAATCCAGGGCACAGAGCCCATGTTCCTTCCCCACTCACTCTGGCCTCCTGTCCTCCCCTGCCCTGGCTCAAGGCCCCGCAGCTGTGAGAAGCCTTTTTGGGTCTTACTTCCTGGAGCCAGGCCAAGGAGGAGAGGTCAGGAGTCTGGATGCCTTCCCAGCACTGGGCTGAAGGGGTTGGTTTGTTTTCCCGGGCGCCGCATGCCTGCCCTGCACAATGAGGGAGTGTGTGCTTGCAGGGAGCTGGGCCTGGCTAGGGGTGGGGAGTCCTAGAAAGCGGAGAGAGGCCTGGGTGGCTCACCACTGCCCTGCAGGTCCACAACAGCATCCAGGTTATCAGGGATGGCGTTCCAGGCATCTGCGATGAGCTTGGGGAAGCCAGGATCCATTTTCTTTTTCACCTCATTGTATCTGTGAAAAAATGGACACGATGGATGAGCAGGGCCTTGCTAAAGGTCACTTCTCCCCAAACCTGAACAGGAGGACCCTCTGATGTCTCCTGGGTGGCCTGAG